TGTGTGTGTAGCAATGTTTTCTCTATACTAAAGATAGTATGTATACGTCACGGTGTCACCACCTCTCTCTTGTAATAATTGTCGATTTATACTTAAAAGACTATTTAACTTTAATTAATCATTAATGGAATTGGCAAAGCAAAAACATTTTTCTTCTGTCCATTTTGCATTTATTGCCTTTGTGTCACCCCCCCCCCCCCCTAATAGTATCACACGGTGTGATCCGCACCCCTCGCCCAGCCCTCGCTACGCCTCTGTATGTTGTTGTTATCACGTTACTTTCCTTAACGTCAGTCGGGTTCCAATCAGAACTGGGGAGACTCAGAGACGTCCTACCGCCCGACCACGCCGTTCCATACATTTGATTTTATTCAGTTTAAAACTCTCTATATGAAACCTTATAATTTGCAAACATAAAAGGGAATTGAATTTCGACGATTTATGAGGGTTTATTTTAATAAATTAAATGTAGACATGTTCATTAATTACGTTAATTCAATGATTTTTAGTTTCTGTTATTTTATTAACCTAAGGATACAAAGTATATAAGTAGGCCTACACGTGTGAAGGTTGTGTGATAGCAGCATTTAAAATTTCTAAAAGCTGATTTATTTTAAAAGAATAATTATGGCATGTTTTATTTTTAAAAACACAGTTGTACATAAGATATATTTTCATCATTGCAAGACACACAATACTTGCTTTATAATACCGTATTTAAAACCATAAATAATGCATTCATTAAATAATCTTTGGGTTTTGTTTCTTAAAGATAAAAGTAAAAATACTATGAGAAAGTAGAGTAGTTTTTTACCGTTAGCGGTGCATAATATTTTTTTTTTTAATTTAAGATAATAATCGCTCTTTTTTTGTAAAACATCATTCTTTCATTAAGTAGCAATTTTAACATTTAGAATATTACAAAATACTGCAAAACAGAACACTGGACGGGGGAAAATGTTTGTTTAAAAGAAATATTCATATTCCTGTAGAAATAAACAACACTTTTCATAATATTGTTGGAATTAGCTAGAGACGTAAAATATGTCATCAAATTAAAGAAAAAATAAAAATGGAATGATGTGGGACAAGTAATTGGAGTATTAAAGCGAATTAATGTTGTATTAAATAAAATGAAAAAAAAACCTATATGAATGACATATGAATGCTTTACTTTGATATGAATCTACATACTAAGATCAATGTAACATTGACATGTTTTAAACATATTTTGTATCTGAAGTTAACTTGTGTACGGCGAAGAAGTTTACACAGCAATAACAGGCAGTGGGCTAGTCTACATCAGATACTCCTTATATTTCTGTGTACATCTTTTTGTGCAACCTCTCTCTGGTCACAGTGTAAAACGATCAAGTAAAACAGTGCCTCAATATAGTCCATTATAATATTTTAAAGTTGGGATAGGTTTAACTAGATCATTTTTCTTAAGAAACAAAATGTTAACGCTCAAGAAATGTTTAAATGCATAAAGTATACTCACAAGAACACTAAAAGCAAAATCTTAACCCTATCCTGAAGCTAAATATCACCTCTCTCAACTCTGCACTATGTCCAGCTACCTTTACTTTGCCCACATTAAATATGTACAACAAGAATTGAAAGAACTCAGGAGCATTGTACTCACTCCAGGGACACGACTCGAGACTTTGGGGTCAGTTGCGCGCTTTATCATACTACAACGCCATCCCATAATGTTTGGATTTGAATATCTGTAAAAGAATATTTGTTTTCACATCTAATTAACAAATCCCCTACTAATATACCTGTCACGGCCTTTTCTACTGCCTATTTCATGGCACACACTCAAAACAAAATCAAACCTTGTTCCTGTAATTTCCATAATTTTATTAGTTCATATGTACAACACCTTCACTGCAAAAAAAAAACATCGCCATCTGCCTCGCCTTCTATCTACCTCTCTGCTTCCTTTCCTTAGCGCATGCGCACACCCATACTATATTTTATATTTATATCGCCTTTTTAAGATACAGACTCGAAACATACATTCATCTACATTTAACTAATACAATACCCCGATAATTGTATTCATGACTCAATACGGTAGGCTATATGTGCGATTTTAATAAGCAATAAAACAAGTGTTAATTTTGTTTTATTATTTATTCATAACTTATTGAGATCTGCTTATTCTAATTTTTTAGGTTTTTCTTTTCTTTCATCGTTAAGTTTTGTTTTTTGTTTTTTCTGATTTGTAGGTTTACAACAAAAACGTAGGAAATTAAATGTTACATTCCTCTACGAATTACATTCATTTAGTTGATAAAATAGAACGATATAGCGGGCCCAATAGCAATCCATTAACATAATTATTCTGAAAAAAATGACCAAACAAAAAATGAAAAGAAGATAGGCAGAGTGAATAGCAAAACTATTCCATAAAAGATTTTTTAATATTCATTTTCTAAATTGTTTCATGAAGTTCTTATTTTGCTACAGAGGCGTATCCAGGTTTTCGTTGTAGGGGGAGCGAAAAGAGCAAAAGAAGGCGCCGAATTTTTAACACGTTCTATATCCGTGTATTATATATATATATATATATATATATATATATATATATATATATATATATATATATATATATATATATATATATATATATATATATATATATATATATATACATATATATAATTACTTCGCTATGATGAAAAATAAATTGAAAGTAGCACTCTGAAGAAATAAGAAAAAACACACAATGTAGGCCGACAAAACAAAAATTGTATCAATCTAAACAATATATATATATATATATATATATATATATATATATAAATATATATACACTACAGCCAAAAACAAGGAACGTAAAACAATCTGTTTTGTAATTCTTGTAAAACAAGTTAATAAAAAGTCTAGTGACAATTTATGCGCCATTTCCTTATGTTATCCATAACAATTTTTAATTTTTTGTAAATATCATCCTATAAATATAAACTCCTACACGATGCTCAGTTTAAATCATCCTAGGCCTACAAGATGCTCAGTTTAAAATATATTTTTTAAAAAATTGTGACCAAACGAAAGGATATTGTTGAAAACTTTCTTCGGCAATATTGTTCTAAATTATGGCAGGAATCGATTGGTAAATGTTTCAAGTCGCTAAGTGGTCTGGTTGCCGAGATATGGGCAAAAAAACTGCATTTTTTCGAGGTTTTTTGGCTTTTCCGGGAAATCCAGGAAGGAATTCCGGGAATTTTTTTGGCCCACAATCATCCTCGGAACTTGCTTAACATATTTGCTTTGGAACTAGTCCTCGATATTGCTTCGTTGAGGAGGAGATACGACTTAAAGCTGCGGACACACATCCACACATCCATCCATCCAGAAATGACGCATTATTAAACGCAATTGCCAGTATGGAAATTGCGCTAAAAATTTCTTACATAATAATTCCTGGGAAATTATTTAAGACAAGTGAAATAGGGGAAATAATCACTCTATTAATATAAATATGTATATATCTACACATTTAATTATAAATGTCAAAACAAATAAATAATTACTTTAGATTATAATTAAATTGTTTAACACTATTCGTGTTTACAAAATGTTTTTGTCTATAATCAGAATTCAATACATCGTCATCATAAATGCTAAAGTATTACAGCATAATGAAAGTTTTTAAAATCAGAGTTGGTATAAAAACACGCTTTTCGATCTAATAGTAAACCATTCGGAACAACAGCCTACATTTAACTAAATATCGGTCTTTTAGTTCAGATCATATATTGTAATTAACTACTGCTTCTTTGTGTTCTAATGGGTTAGATCACTGTATTGAACACACACCTTTTAACTGGTATTTTACTGGTAATTGCAAAAACAATATTCCCAGAGTTATACGTTTAAAAAGCTAATTTTCTGGCGGCATGGTACTTTGGTATATCATTATGCGTTTTTCTACATGTACTTAACAGATCAGTTCGGGGTGGGCTGGGGAGGGGGGTGGGGGGGGGGGGGTTCAACTTCTTTCACCACTTTCCGTTCACTTTAGGTCAATTATCCAACCCAGTGTATACCTAGGTGTGACATTAATGTCACTCTACACAATTGTGGTGGTGAGGTGTGTAGGGGGGGGGGGAGAGATAACCAACTCAGAGTGAACATACTTTCAGTTTTTAGATGACTGTTCTAAACATACATATATATTACACACAAACATATATATATATATATATATATATATATATATATATATATATATAGATAGATAGATATAGATATAGATATTACACAAATATATATTACAGAAATAGCTTTAAATAAGTAGCAGTGGTATTATGACAATATTTTTTTACAGTGGGGTCCATGGGGGAGGGGGTTGTAACTGTTTCATATAATTTGTAATCGTAATCACTATCGCCCCAACTGTAAGAATACAACTACTTCATCGTGATGACCTTGTCGACCTTGTCAAAATTTCCCCACCACTATGCAGTCTGCTCATAAGTAAATTTGAATAGAGGTGCCACATCAGTTGTATTTGTTTCTGTATTGTAATTTTACAAAAATTAATCACACTATTCAAACTGTATATATAGAGTAATTATGTGTGAAGTTTTATGTATAACATTTTCTAATTCAATTATTCGTAAGCAAATACATTATACAGTTGCCTTAAACTTAACACCCCTCTTGCCAAGTGGTACTACCGTCGAGGTTTTTTAAACATTGCAATGCATCGTAATGGTTATTTTTAGAATGGCAAACTGATGCAGCTGTTAATATGTGTTGTAAACGTAGACACAACTAGACTAGTACAATAATGCTTAATTGCTGCATGAAAAGAAATCTTGTGATTTACATAGATGTGCCGACCAAAAACATTTTTTTTTACAAATATCATTTTTTAAAACTTTGAGTTTAAGAAATTTCCAAAAAGGCGCCACTTTGCTGAAAATGGCCAGAGGGGGAGCGGCCGCTCCCCCTGCTCCCCCCCTGCGTACGCTACTGTTTTGCTACTTTCCAGATAAATTACTATTGCAATAACAGTATTGCCTAAGTTCTCTATTTTTGTCCAGTATACAAGCTGGGTTTTTCCCATACTTGTTAATCCGGCTAATCGCCTTAGGATTAACAGACATGGTGTCCATGTATAGCAGATGCTCCAGTGTCAGTTCGAATTCCCCGTGGCCGGGCTCTGTGAAAAACGTCAGCTGGTAGATGGCCCGCTCGTTCTTGACAGAGTTGTCGGACATGATGGGTTCCAGCCCGCGGTCTCCTGTCGTCTGGTTAAAGCGGAGGACGTCATCGCTGACCAGCAGTTTGGTGACCGTCGTGACGTCACCAACACTTAGCTTGGCACAGTCAGATCTGTAGGGCTCAGTGAAATTGTTGATGGCGTCTACAGCCGCCGCTAGGGCGCGCTTTGCATCTGGGTCATCGTGATTCACTTCCTTCCAAGCCAGACATGCGCACCAATGAGGCGCGACGTCTGCATGATGGCAAGTCCTTGACTTTGGAATTTCTTTAAATAAACTGATACCTCTATTCATAACGTCCCCCAAACCAGCGCCGTCAAATCTGAGAATGTCTTTGAAAGTTTCATGCAAGTCAAAAGGCGTGGTCAGTCTGTTGACGTTTGTCTTCACGTTTTTGACCAGACTTGGATATTTCTTTTCAAACCAAGGCGGAAACCTCAGACTGACGTAAGGCAGACGTTCCTCCAACTTCCCTGAGAGCGTCCTCCTGACGTCATCGAATCTAGAACCGTGGTCACCCATCACCAACAGAAGTGTGTTGTTTAGGTATCCCCCGTTCTCCAAATTCTCCAGAAAATTCTTGAGATCTTCATCGGCCTGGGGACATATAATACATGAAACATCACGTGAGTCACTGAATATAAGATAAACATAACAAATAAAATAAATGTCGCATATTCCTAAATGATTTCCTGTGACAAATGAATGACTACGTTTAAATAACTGCTTAGGTTATTTAGGTCAGAGATGATCGATCTTAAGGCATGACTATCATTTCAGTCATTCTTATTGAATTATATTTTCCAATGTATTTATATCGCTTTTTTACTTTAATCAGGTTGAATTCAAGAGCTTTTGAATTTCAAGCTTGTACGATAAACAATCAAGAATAGAAAATACGTTTGGTATTTATGCTCTTCATTTAACTTCCATTTAGTCAAAAGATCGATGAATCGATATGTTTGTGTACCAATCTGGTGCTTACAGCAATCTAAGTTTAGACTGTTCGCTACATAGCTTAACCGAGACAACAATTTACTTTTAAAGTACATGGTATTCTATTTATGAAGAAATTGGACATGAACTGAAACACATTTTACGTCTCTAACTAATTCCAACAATATTACGAGAAGTGTTGTTTATTTCTATAGGAATATGAAATAGTTCTTTAAATAATCGGGGAGTGATCTCCCCTAAACTTTCTCGAATATTCTTATATAACACTACGGGGGATGGCAACTGTCAAATGTCGTTAAAATATGTCAAACTTTTTTCGAATTTAATCGTTTCCAGAGAAACGAAGAAAAATGAAATTAGCTAATTGGTTTGCTAAAACAATATTAATAAGTCTCATTGGCATTTCTTAAATCACAAACAAAAATGCGTTTTCTTTTTGTTTTTAATGTTTAAAATAACAATAGTAACTCAAGGTGTAGACGTTTCTGGTAGAAACAAAAAAAAGCATTATACAGTGAAGATGTTATTTATTTTTTAAATTAAAGTTTTCAATAGATTAGCTGACCCATTATCAAATTTATTAACTCATGTAAAATTAACATTTCTTTTTAAATATTTTTAGAAACCGTTTAGAAGAGGTTTATTTAGTTTAATATCCAGAAACTAAGGGAAAAAATTGTTAACAAATTTTGTTTATACTTTTATATAATTATAATTAGTGAATGTAACACATCTTATCTTTCTTCCTCTTTGAATTTAACTATTTTAATCGATAGGATTTCCGCAAATACGAGCGTGGCAACATCATAATGGTCGTTGACTCCGATTTCAGCCAGCCTTTTTTCTAGTTCCGTCCGGAGTTCGAACTCGGGACTTACCGGTTCAGAGGCCAACAACTTTACAAACATGAACACAGAAACCCGTATCATCTGGTTAGTTTTAACACAATAAGATCTAACCTTACATTTATTTTCAAAACAAATACAGTATTATGAAATGCATTTCAAAATTTCATGTATGTATTTGTTTAAACCCCTACCAAATAGTAATTGTGCACTTATGTCAACATACAAATCCGCATTTCACCATGTTTTGCATATAGGCAACATGAAAAAAAAAAATGGAAAGTTCAGAAGAATTTACAAATAAAATTCAATGGCTATGACTATAGGAACCAACAAAAGAAACTGACCGTAATGTATAGTCATTTAGGTAGGCTTTAAAATACAAATGAAATTGAATATAATGAAGAAGGAAAACTCTTTCCGAAAATGATCGAGTTTGAATAAACAAAATTTCGATTAGTTATAACTTTATATTATAATATAAAGCTCAATTCTGTATGTAAAAATAAGTTTGTTTGTTTGTCGTTGACATACTTCTATGGATTTAAGTGTTAGAATATTATCGTTCTCATAGTCTAAATCTATGAGTTAAAAAATTACTATTGAAAGTGATGGGAAATAATTTTCATTTTTCAAACTGATAATAATAATTGTCGGCATGTTCATTAAACACAATTTTTTAAAAATAACAAAATTTCTAATTATGTCTGAAAATTATTTATATTTAGTCCTTTAGCACTTACTTTCCTTTGATAAATTAGGAAAACACAATTACTTCCCTTTATAAAACATTGCATTAGTGGAAAAGAATTTACTTTTTATTACTTTGTTTTGGTGTTGGGAAAAAAATAATTACATAATTAGCGGGGATTGATCAAGTGCAAATGTTGTAGGTATTTTACGAATAAGCTTGGAGTATTATAATTGTTCACTTGGTTTGGTTTGGCACCTACGTTCGTTTAAGTGAGTGCAAAAGACTATGAATAAGTTGGGGTACTATAGTCGGTTATTTAGCTGAAACAGGCGATTCTGGCCCGGGCTAGACTGTGAGCACTTTGCGTTTATGTTCGCGTTAGTGTTTTCTTTGTGTTCAGGTTGGGTTTGTGTTAGTGGTTGCGTTTTGATTTGGTTCGTTTTTGTTCTTTCTTTTTTCGTTTTCGTTTGTGTTTTTTCTTTGGGTTTGTGTTTGTATTTGTGTTTGTGGTTGGTTTTGCGTTTGTATTTGGTTTGTTTTCGTTTGCTTTTTCGTTTGTGTTTTTTTCTTTGAGTTTGTGTTTGTGGTTGGTTTTGCGTTTGGATTTGGTTTGTTTTCGTTTGCTTTTTCGTTTGTTTTTTTCTTTGTGTTCGTATTGGTGTTTGTGGTTATGGTTGGGTTTGTTGTTAGGTTTTTGTTTTCTTTTGCTTTTTTGTTTGTTTTTTCTTTGTGTTTGTATTGGTGTTTGTGATTGTGGTTGGGTTTGTTGTTAGGTTTTTGTTTTCGTTTGTATTTGTAATTGTGTTAGCGTTATGTTTGCGTTTTGTTGTTTTGGTTGGTTGTGGTTTGGGTGGGCAATGCCGGGTTCATGATGATTACTAAACATACAGGTAATGGTCTTTAACAGAAAGGTTTTTCATAGAAGCCAGAGCATGGCCTGGCCGGGACAACTAGTATATCATATTGTATGTAACACTTTTCATTTAAAATAATTAACTACTTATTGAATAATACTGCATTACGTTCATTGATAAAATTATTTAAATTGCTCTAACCTCTTATATTTTAAATCTAATAAGATCTTATAGATTTAGTGGTATAGTCAATATAATAGTCTATATAATATAGAAAATTGCTTGGAATAATCACATGTTAATATATCCACCTTATTTAGTCAAATACTGATTAAACCTAGTTTGAAAATAATGAGTTTTATGATAAAATAAAATAGTCAATGCATCTGAGATAGAAAATATAGTGTATCTTAGTTTTCAATGAACTTACCATGGTAATATAATTATTTCCTTCATGACTGAGAGGTGAGTAGAAATGGACGAGAAATTTGGGCTCGTGTTTGTACATGTAGAAAATATCACGTAACCAGTTGAACCAGACCATGTGTTGCAGCTCTGAGCCGTGGCAGAAAGTCAGGAACCTCCTGTACGTCGGCACGGCGGCCAGATAGAATGGTCTCATGTAGAAGTCAGTGGGCTGGTGTTTGAAACCCTGTAGGCGCAAGTTGAATGGACCAATGTCTATATTGGCATCAGCCCATGATGTGATGTAACCATTTTTCTGGAACTGTTTCCAAATCCAGGGAAAATCGTCAAGATGTTTAGAACCTGAAAAGTGTTTTCTGGCTTCTGGGAGTTCTACTTCATGCTTGCCTGTCAGAATAGGAAACATGGCAGCAGTAGTTGCGTCCCCTACAATATTGTATCCCTTGAGTTCTATAGCACCAAGTCTTTTAACCATGTAGTCTCTGGTTTTTGGCATACGTCGCAGCCAAGACATTCTAGACATGGAATCAAACACCAACATAGCTACAGACATCCCGAGACCATTAGCTGGAGGTTTTGCAGTCTTTAGCCGTTCTCGAAGAGTCTCGTTGTTAAAAATGCCAGCTTGGATATTTTCATATCTAGCCACGCGAGTGTTTGAAAAACATTTGACTTTGAAGAAATTGGAAGTCATCGGAATTCCGCTATACTCTATTCTAACAGGATCTCCGAAGGTTATAAAATTGTCACCGGGTTCTCGGATCAAAGGGTAGTACTCACAGTTGAATACGTCATAGTTCCGTGTGACTGACGTGTCGAATTTTAGGGTTCCATTGTCTACGATCACCCAGTCCGGCTGCATGCCATTACAAGATGGCCGCCCCTGCCTCCAGACCAGTCTCATCATCACTGGGTCAGACAACTCCAGTCGAGGGTGGATACAGGCCTGGGCACTGTCCAGTAAATGGGGAGCATTCTCTCTTTCATTTCTAGTGTCATCTTGTGGGTTAGCAAGAAGTTTGTGCGAATGCCGATACGCTGGGAGCGGCATGGACAGATAATCTTTAATCTGACCATCTGGAATTCTTGAGGTTACGATGACGTAGCAGGCACCAACTATCACGACAAGGGTCAAGAAAGTGACGATGTTTTCCTTTCGGTAACATCTACATCTGCAGGATCGTTGGAACATGGCACTAGCTGAGCTGGAGGACTGTGTGAAGGACGTAGTGAACCTGTAATATTCTCTGGTCGGGCTAAAGTTTAACTGTTTAACTGTGACAATAATGTAAGCAGTTTTTATCACTAGTGAAGCTATAACATTTAATTTCCCGGCAATCGTGTTCTCAGCTGAATCCCAGTTTGAATAATGCAGGCGATCTTTATCACAAGTGAAGCTGTATAATGCTCTCGATTTCTTAAGAAGTTTGTACTAACACTCAGGAACAGATGCTATCTTAGTTCCTGTTACCTTGAATGTTAATAACATTGATATTAATTATAAAACATACTTCCAGTTCAGAAAATACGCAACAGTCATTATTAATAAACGTGAAGAATTATTAATGTAATTAAACTGATTACCAACTAATATGCCGCCACCACAAACAATGTATGATTCTTCCTTTAGAAAACCAATCAACTGCCTCTGCCTATAATAGAACACAATGATATAAAATAACGTCGATAGATAGGGCTAACACTGTTATTGTTGCTATTGCACACTCATCAAATAGTTCCGCGCAGGAACACAAGTCAGCTGTAAACTGACTTGGGGCGGACTTCACAACTGAGTGGCGTTTGTCCTTTAAATAGGCCTTCCTTAATAAATCACGACTCGTGACTCGAAAGCTCATGAAGTATAGAACACCGGGTTAAAGTGCTGGGAAATATCACTACACCTGGGTATCTTAGATTGAGAGATCGTCTGCTACCTATTGGCACCCCACACTACCCCACACTACCCCTCATACCCCCGCCCCTCACTTACAAATACATGTTTCGTTTCTTTTCAAATGCAAATTACATCTTCTTGTATCATGGTTATAAATGTAGTGAAAGAAACAAGCAATCCTGATTTATTTTCAGTTTTTTTTTAGTTTACCCAGAGTTTCGGTATAGACTTTAATGTACGTGGTTACTCGATTAATTGATTTAAAAAAACTAATCATAAATGCACACTTTGTGTTATTTTGGATGAACACGACCGTAGCTTAACTGCTCTTAAAAGAGTATAACAGTTTTGATTAAATATATCGAAAAGTCCTATGTTTACATAGGCAAATATATAAAAAAGACGCATTTGCAGCCATTTTGAATAATTAACAGTGCATGTTTCAGTGCAGTAGCGAATGCGAAAAAATTCATTACCCCGGTCACGATTCCGTCACGCTTGAGTTGCTGTTTATAGTTAGCGTGTCATTTTACGCCGCAGCTGGCTACTTTATCTGGCAACCAGCGCCATCTTTGTTACACTTTAACCAACACCAATGTCAAGGTTAGTCCACAGTTAGCAACCGGCCGTAGCTAGTTTGCTATTGACAGCAGGTCATTGACCCAGGTTATGAGAGGATGGTCACCCCCACATGGCTGACAACAGCAGATATAATACTCACCCTTTAGATAAATATATACATAATTCTTGCTGAAGGACAGTTATTAAGCTTAACTAAATAAATTGTAGGCTACAGATAAAAGGTGCAGATATTTATTGTTGAAATACAGTAGCCAAGCTTGACACGATGAAATATAAATATTTGTTGCTAAAGAAAGTTAGACAAACCGGGGGGGGGGGGGTCAAGGTCTCTGTCTACCTACCACCTACTCAATCATAAATGACTAAACTATCAATAAGATTAAATCAAAACTAATATAAAATAATTTTAAATTATAAGCTTTTAAATTCATTGAAAATAAAATAAAACAATCTTGCTTTGTTGACTAAAAATGTTTGCGAATTAACGCAATCGGCAGCACTCTGAAAAAAGAATATTCTGCTTCTCTGTAGTCCATTGTCAACTCCCAGGAAGGAAATCAACCAACCCTGATTGCGCACTTCTACGTTAGATGAATGTTATCTCCCCTTTTATTATGGAATAGGAATATTTTAAAATTTGATTTTAATGGTTAAAATAATATATTGTTAGATAAAAAATAATAGAATAGTATTGTCTTCAGATACGAATTAATCAAGATCTGGGCGAAATCGCTGCATGATTTGATCTTTTCTCCCGTTTAACCTTTTTTTAAATTGAACGTTTATGACTACCCTAAAGTCTAATTCGATTATTATAAAATATATTCTTTTATGATCATTGGAGACAAAGTATCTGGAAAGTTTGAACGAAATCGCGCTAAAGAATTGGGACAAAATAAGTTACGAATTTTTCCACATTCCACAAAAAACAACTAACAAACACATAGTCAACTAAATAAAACTTTAAAGCCTATCAAAAAGGAGAATGTGGAGTTGTGCCCCTTTTGAAATTTTTTAAAGCTTGTACGATATTTTCGACTTCGTAAATTTTCAACTCTGAAACCTTTCTATTTGTCTTTTTTTTGTGCAAAACTTATTTCATACAGCAAATTATTAATTTTATCAGTCTGATATCTATGTAAAAATAATTGGGTACATTTATATTCTTCTTCTTCTCCACTTGCAGTTCCCATAGGAACTTAAACCATCTACATCATTCTTGTATTGTTATTCTGCATCTAGTTTTTTTTTTACATCTCCTTCTGAACCATTCCAATAGATTATGTTTTTTTTTTTATTTCTCTACGCCAGATGTTTAAGATTTTTCAGTGTTTATTCTTTTCTCTACAAAAAACAATGTTATAAGGATTGGTGAATCGTTTAGTCTTTTTCATCCCAGCTGCAAGTACATGAGACCTAAATTTAAACAAGTTATGGGTGCATGCGATATAAATGTACCCGTTATACGTATAAATATGCGACCAAAATTTACCCGACTTAGGTACATGCAACCTATATTTACAAAAGTTATAAGTACACGCGAGCTAAATTTGGTCAGTATTAAACAAATTCTAATTTCATGTATGTTTACCAATATCTCCAGCACTTTTAATACAACACAATATTTATTGTGATCATTTTATTCAAAACTTTAATATGTTAAAATGATAGCATTCTTAGAAAATAAATGTCATACTTTATTGAAATCAGTGTATACATTTCATATTAAATTAATTCATACAACATTAGACATACAACGAACAAAAAACTGACAGTTAAATAAGAGACGTCATAGATACACGGAGTCCCGCTGTAGGACGTTGGAAAGTGATCAGGTCTCTATTGTTAGAAAAATAGTAACAAATCAACGTCAATGTTGATAGAATAGCGCCTGCTTTAAGAAAGAGGTTTGAATTACACAAGTCTGGATGTGATGAATTACAGGGGTGGTGGTGTGGGGTGGGGGGGGGGGGGGGGCAGGGGTGGCATAATATTTTTTAAACAGCGTGACTTTAATTACGGAAAATTGATTATTTCGTAAACATCAATTACCATACATACGTTTTACATTATGAGTATAACGAATAACAAATGCATTATTTAGAAATGCAAAAAAAAAAAAACGACTAGAACTTAATCTTTTTTAAATATATTGAAATGTTGATTAAATCATTATCAATATTACTTTGCCATTTACTTCAATATACACAAAAGCATTAATATAAATGTTTTAAATCTAATTTAAGTCTAGTTAGTTATTTGTATATACGCGCTTTTTCATAGAAACAGTAGACACGTGTAAACTAAAAGTAACAATTCCATGTTGATATCATTTACATAAGTTGCATGTGATAGCTAAATAATTATTAAATGTATTCTGTGTCTATCTTGGTTTCTGCGGAACAACTGAAAGAAATTTTTTTCATTCGTGACGTCCATAACTAAACGTAACGTGAGGTTTGGACACTACAGGTCACGCTTGGGTTAACACTAAACATTTGGTCGTATCGCATGGATGATTTTGGTCAAATAAAAGGTCAACTACTAGAAAAGTGTACATTCAAGGAGTCAGCCATCTTGTACTTTATTCTTAAGATGGGAAGTCACCTAGTACAGGCTGGGATGAAAGAAACAAAATGATAACAGTGCTTGCTTTAGTGGTACCTTGTTAATGTAAATGTTTGTGTAGCTCAACTGTAATACATCGTTCCTTCAGGGTACCTTTAGTATCCATATACCGTTACTATTACACAGGTATTTTATTAAATTTTAGCAGGAAAAACATGAATAAATTATTAAAGCTCAAAGAAAAATACACGACATATTAAATTTCGACATAAAGACTTCGTCGTAAGATAAAAGAAAAGCCATTAGTAAAAGCAAGGCAACAAGACCACGTTAGCACATAGATTTAAGTCACACCACTACTTTTGTAGTGTTGATAAATGCCTATTGGCTAACATTAAAGGTAAATAATTCATAGAGAGCTTTTCGGAGGTGAAAACATATTAGCTCAAAATTAACAAATAACGTAATTTTAAAGACTAATACATCGACGAGCATTGCCTGCATTTTGCAGAGATAGCTATAAACTTAAATTGGTGTTCATTAAAATATCAAGGTAGTGCAGATATTTGATAATTAGTTGTCATCACAAAAGTAAGTGAACTGTACTTTCTGTCTATCTATTGCTTTATCTCTCAATCTCTCGCAACCTCGCTTTCATCCCTGTGGAACGCTTAATCAATATATATATATATATATATATATATATATATATATATATATATATATATATATATATATATATATATAATATATACTTATGAATTCAAATAGAATCCGTCAGTAAAGGAATGTTTTCAATTTTCTCTTATGGATTGTGTATATCTTTTTAATTTAGAGTTGCGACAAGTTACTGTTGCAATAACAAAATTGTCTAATGTCTCTGTTTTTGTCAAGTATACAAGCCGGATCGTTCCCGTACTTGTTAATCCTACTAATCGCCTTAGGATTAACAGACATGGTGTCCATGTGGAGCAGATGCTCCAGTGTCAGTTCGAATTCCCCGTGGCCGGGCTCTGTGAAAAACGTCAGCTGGTAGATGGCCCGCTCGTTCTTGACAGAGTTGTCGGACATGATGGGTTCCAGCCCGCGGTCTCCTGTCGTCTGGTTAAAGCGGAGGACGTCATCGCTGACCAGCAGTTTGGTGACCGTCGTGACGTCACCAACACTTAGCTTGGCACAGTCAGATCTGTAGGGCTCAGTGAAATTGTTGATGGCGTCTACAGCCGCCGCTAGGGCGCGCTTTGCATCTGGGTCATCGTGATTCACTTCCTTCCAAGCCAGACATGCGCACCAATGAGGCGCGACGTCTGCATGATGACAAGTCCTTGACTTTGGAATTTCCTTAAATAAACTGATGCCTCTATTCATAACGTCCCCCAAACCAGCACCGTCAAACCTGAGAATGTCTTTGAAAGTTTCATGCAAGTCAAAAGGCGTGGTCAGTCTGTTGACGTTTGTCTTCACGTTTTTGACCAGACTCGGATATTTCTTTTTAAACCAAGGCGGAAACCTCAGACTGACGTAAGGCAGACGTTCCTCCAACTTGCCTGATAGTGTCCTCCTGACGTCAGCAAATCTGGAGCCATGGTCTGACATCACAAGCAGAAGTGTGTTGTTCAGGTAGCCTCCGGTCTCCAGGTTCTCCAGAAAGTTCTTCAGATCGTCATCGGCCTATGAAAAAAAATTAATTATGAGCATTGAATAAAAACTTTGGATTTCAAACTGTCACTAAATAACCATATTTTTTAAGCAACAGCACCGTTATGCAAGTGGCTTTATGTGGCAAATCAAACAAACAGCAATCACTAGAGCTACATTTAACATGACATTCACAGAACCGTAGAACTAATATGTTTGGACGTAGGCTAACTGCAAACATAAATAATGGTTAGCGGATAAATATTGATTATGTGACTATAGCAACACAGAGTTTATATGTTATCTTTTACACAATGTTGCACACTTTTTGTTGGTTTTTTTTTTTTGAAATTTTTGTTTACATTCTTGTTTGGTAGATGTTATTTTTTAAAAATATTTTTACGCGAGTTTCAACAGTTACAAATTTTATTAAAACATTAGCCAAAATTAAAAATATTTAATCTTGAATGTGTCATGTTTAATACTTAATATTCACTATTTAATGTTAAATATTTTATTTCCCCAAAGTAAATGAATTTAGACTAACGTAATTTTTTCCACATCATTTACGTAAAAGTACACGCTTTGAACTTTTTCGTCAATACTTTCCTATCTTAGTCACCTTCTCCCTAGAGATATAAGCTCCAACCCCCTCCCCCCCCACCCGCCCACAACTGGGATTTTTTAAACACTTCCCCTAACCTAACAGATCCATCTTAATTTCCTTCCACGCCGCCATGCATTCAATTCTATGAGAAAACGAATTAGGTCAGTGCCACGCGAGTTGAACGGCCTCCAGTCCCCAGACTACTTGCTGTTCAGTCAAGCGAAACGTTTGCTTTGTTATGCCTTCGTTCTGGTTTTTTTGTTATTGTTTTTAAACATGTTTAAATTTGTTTTAGCCCGTTTTATTTTTCTGTTAATCCCAAGAGTTTAACTACGTCAAATGTTTAACTGCCTCAGCGGATCGATCCCTCACGTGATTAGGGCGTGTAAACCTGTGGTGACAGAAGGCTCAGCCTGAGCTGGTTGTTACAGATATTGACCCAACCACCGTTAAAGTACAGCGTGACCTACTTCTGGCTTTGTTGCATAGAGGCGGAGGAGGGGGCCGACATTCTTTTTCATTTTTCATGAAATTTTGTTGTGCTCGTCAAATCGAGAAAAACTTTTAAAGCCGTTGTTTACTATTTGGAAGCGAATAACTGTTAGCAGATGTATAACTAGTTTCATTAAATAAAACAATACTAAATTTTGCGGAAATGAGAAATGTGCTTTTGAAGTGCTTCAAACTTTATAAATCACATTTCAAAAAACATATTTTGAGTTCACAGACAGTCGTAAAAAAAGAAAATTTTTACTGTAAAAGTTGAAAAGACAATTTTAGAAATTGTTGTAAAGGAATGAAACTCACAGTACATCAAACGTACATAATAATGATATTTAAAAAAAAAGAGATAATAAATGTGCATTAGTTCGAATCCGGGTTCAAATCAGTGGAATGTCCCTGAGTCCACCCCGCTCTGATGGGTACCTAACACACGTTAGGGAAACAAAGGCATAGATTTGACCACGCTACCCCTTCATATGCCGAGGTCTCTGAAGCAGATGAACTCTACTTCATCTGCCCCATAGGTATCTAGGCACAAACGGGAAAAGTTGATGAAATTTGCATACAAATTCAAAGCCTAGTGGTGTTGTAATTGTCTACCATGAGAATTTTTTTACCATAGTAATGAGATTGTTGTCGTCATGACTGAGAGGTGAGTAGAAATGGACGAGAAATTTGGGCTCGTGTTTGTACATGTAGAAAATATCACGTAACCAGTTGAACCAGACCATGTGTTGCAGCTCTGAGCCGTGGCAGAAACGGTAGTAGTTTCGATACGTTGGTGAGGCGGCCAGATAGAATGGTCGCATGTAGTAGTCAGTCGGCTGATGTTCGAATCCCTGTAGGCGTAAATTAAACGGCCCTATGTCTATGTCAGCATCGGCCCAAGAAGTGACGTAACCATTTTTCTGAAAACTTTTCCAAATCCAGGGAAAGTTGTCAACAGGCTTGGATCCAGCCTTATGTTTTCTGGCTTCTGGGAGTTCTATTTCATGCTTGCCTGTCAGTATAGGAATCATAGCAGCAGTAGTTGCGTCCCCTACAATATTGTATCCCTTGAGTTCTATAGCACCAAGTCTTTTAACCATGTAGTCTCTGGTTTTTGGCATACGTCGCAGCCAAGACATTCTCGACATGGAATCAAACACCATCACAGCTACAGACATCCCAAGACCATTAGCTGGAGGTTTTGTAGTCCTCAATCTCTCTCGGATTGTTTCGTTGTAGAAAACTCCAGCGTGGATGTTCTCGTACCTCGCCATCTGAGATTTGGAATGACATTTGAGTTTAAAGAAATTCGACGTCATGGAAACTCCGCTCCTCGCCAACCGAATTGGTTTACCGTAGGTAATATTATTATCTCCAAGTTCACGGACTATAGGATAATAATTACAGGAAAACAAACCGTATTGATTAATGATGGACATGTCAAATCTGACAGTGCGATTGTCTACAAACACCCAGTTCTGTTGCATGCCGTAACAAGACGCCCGTCCCTGTCTCTTGACATATCTCATCATGACAGGATCCTTCACATCCATAGTAGGCTGGATACAAGCTTGTGATGTATCCACTTGATCCGGTGGATTAGCTCTTTGATGAATCACCGTCACGTGTTGCTTCAACCGACGTTTTAGATTAGGGTTTTGATGGCGGCCTTTAAGGAATGTCTGGTATGGAACAAACTCCATACGAGTTTCACTGGGTTTAGTATCTGGGACCGTGCTGGTTATAATGACGTAGAGGACGGTGATGATCATGAAGAGAGACACGAACTCTGCTATGATTTCTTTCTTGTAGCATTTGTATCTGAAGGAGCGTAGGATCATGGTCAGAGATTGATTGTTGATAAACATAAGGGTGGAGAAATACCAGAAATATGTGACCTCTTGTAGGTCTCAGATGGATGTTTATGAATATGTCGTTTCAGCTAGCTGGTAATCTACAGGTAAAACGTTGACGGTTTAGTTATAGGCTTGAAATCATTGCTGAAAGATGATGTTTCCTAACAGTATCATAGTAAAGTTTTTCCTTCCAACTAGCAAACCATTGGACGGACGAAATAGCATTCGTATGTTTCTTGACCTCAGTAAATATAGGCATGTTGATGTCAGCACTGTACTAGAAATATCAAGATTCGTTTCAAAAATATACTGCTCAATTCAAAATGTGGACAATTCATTGACCTTCTCAAACACCACGTAAAGAAATCACTTTAGTCAATTGAACTTCATCATTAAAGATAGCTAGTTAACAACACCCACACAATGTCAACGATGCTATAATGCAAACATTTCAGCGTGTAAAATACGAAACAGTCCCAATTATCCAGAAATCCACACTGAGCACATTCATTAATAAATCACTAATTACACAGGAGCCAACACAACCGTAGCTGACTAAATATTCCATCCTTAGCCTAAAGGTCGAGAATATCGCAACACGTTTCTGGCACATCGAAACACGACAGCTTGGCTTGGAGTGACTGCACGCTTGAATAGCTTTCGTCCTTCATCTAGGTCGTTCTTATCAAAACCTTGTCTCATCAAGCCTTGCACGACCCTGGTTGTCTAAGGACGTCAGGTACAAGATATCCTTGCAGAAGTATAGGGCTAACTATAACTTTAGCTGACAAATATAACCGTCCGGCAGGTGTGTGTGTTATCACTGATAAAGTTGTTTAATGACTGCAAGCAAAGGACTTGCACCACGTCCTTCCCCACCAACCCCCCCCCCCCCCACACACACACACACTGCTGTAACGTGCCAGCGATATCTAACGACAACACGCCGTTGTGCTAAACAAAATATGACCTTATTCAAGATAAAGAATTGAATGGCCCTTAAGATTACACTGTGTGTATGAGGTAAGCTGCGAATCTACCCAACTGATTCAAAAACATTTACTGCTATGTATGTTTCAAACACAGCAAAGTATTCGTATGATTTGCAACGTTGTGATTAAACCTTAGGGTAACATCGCCTTAAGTGTAATTTAATCACTTTCAGCAAAAGTCAGGTAGAATATAACTCCATGACAGCCCATGTATATATTATTATTATTGTAGCCGCTGTATACTTAGTGTATAACCCGGTGCTCTCACGATCACTACAAGGAAAGCGCATTCTGCCGGTGCGCCGCCCTTCCAAATATTTTGTTTTCGCAAAAACATTCCACAAGTTCATATTCTTAAATAAATTCTTGAAGTTTTATATATATTATTGTATATATATATATATATATATATATATATATATATATATATATATATATATATATATATATATATATGTGTGTGTGTGTGTGTGTGTGTGTGTGTGTGTGTGTGTGTGTCTTTTCTGTGGCCAGCAGCACAGGCTACGATGTCCCATTCTCTTTCTGTTGCAAGTCTTTTGTCTCGCGAACCTAGCCCGACTATGTTAGTCTGAAAAAATACTGCAATGTCAAGGACCTAGTCTGCTATTTATTTTTCAGTCTTTAACAGCATTATTCCCCAATCGGCTTATGGAAAAAGGACAATCCCCGATGACAAACGACCTCAGTACATTTTCCCTATTTTCAATAAACTGTAAGAGTACAAAACACACTTTCGCTCACCACCACTCTCCCTACTCACGTCAAACACCGAGAAGCTGAATACATTTATCTTCAAGAATTAGTTTTGTTTTATCTTTGTGTTTCCTGCGTATTTTCATAAATCATATCATATCCACATTTCTTTTTGTAAGTCACTACAGCAGAAGGAGAATCTGGAGGCGTGATTTAGAGGAATGCACCAAGAAAATTGCACATACCAGAAGACAGTTGGAGAGATAAGCGCAAGACAGAGATGCCTGGAAAGCTTTTGTCAGTGGATTATGTCCCAGGAGGGGCGACAAAAGAAACTAATCCCACATAAAATGAAATTATATAGTGGACTAAGGGGATAAGATTTTTAAAAAAAACTTACTATGGTAATCATGTTGTTGTCGTCGTGGCTCAGTGGTGTGTAGAAGTGGACCATAAACTTCGGGTCGTCTTTGTACATGTAGAAAATGTCACGAATCCAGTTGAGCCAGACCATGTGCTTGGGAACGGATCCATGACAGAACTTATCGAATGTACTGTATAGTCGCTTGGTGGCCAGGTAGAAAGGTCTCATAAAGTAGTCAGTGGGTTGGTGTTTGAATCCCAACATTCGGTAGTTGAAAGGGGCGATATCAACATCAGCATCAGCCCAGGAAGTGACGTAACCTTGACCTCTAAAGTCGTTCCACAGCCAAGGGAAAACGTCAACAGGCTGAGCGTTAAATTTCCCCCTCCTGGCTTCCGGTAGCTCATGCTCGTGCTTGCCTGTCAGGATCGGCAACAACGCCGCCGGCGTCCCGTCCCCCAAGATGTTGTAACCTTCCAGCTCTATCGCCTTTAGCGTGTTGACCAGATACTCTCTGGTCTTTGGCATCCGTCTCAGCCAGGACATTCTGGACATGGAATCAAACCCTAGTAGCGCCACAGACAGTCCCAGACCGTTGGCTGGAGGTTTGGTCAGCTTGAGCCTGTCTTTGATCGTCTGGTTCACAGACACCCCGGCATGCATCGCTTCGTGAGTCCACCTCTGCTCACGTGACTGACAGAAAATTTTAAAGAAATCTGAAACTAACGGAAATCCGTCTGGAATTCCATATACTGGGGTCCCGTATGTGATGACGTCATCGCCTGGCCCACGCATAATTGGATAGTAATCACAGGTTAAATTACCGTAAAATTGTTTAGCAGTTAATGAGAATCGTACCGTTCCGTTGTCTACATATGCCCAATCAGGCGTGGAATAGCACCTGACTTTACGTTTTAATTTATAAAACTGGGTCATTGCAGGGTCGTTGACCTCCAAAGTTGGCATTATGCAAGTCTGGTACTTAGTGTCCTGGATAATATTGTTCTGCAACATATTATTCTGGTACTTATCATTCTGGTACTCATTGTTCTGGAACATATTATCCTGGATTAAATTGTTCTCATGCACGTTAATATTGTTGTCATTACTCTGATAATTATGACTTGGGTCATGATGGTTGTGTATTACTTCCTCTGACACAAAGACTTGCTGTTCGTGAGTTAGCCGGACATCGTCGTATTGGTATCGCTGGTTGTTGGGTCCATTCTTCGTGCTCTCATAGACCAGTTGAATGTGGTCCCTGTGGTCAGCTGATCGGCGGTCAGCTTGTGTACTCACGGAGACAAACACGTACAGTAAAGAGGCGGCTCCCAGCAGAGCAAAACACCTTTCCCATTTTAGTTGTGTGTGCAAGATATGTGGTAGTTGGAAATGCATTTTTAAACTCTGGAATAAAAAAATGAACAAATTTTTTAACATTAACAAAAACTCCAGAATATTTAGTATATCAAATTTTTAACACCAACTCTACAAAAAGTTTGTTAGACTTATATTGAATCAAAAAAAATCCATACAAATATCACTGTCCTTGCTTAGCTATCTGATTTTTATTTTAATTATTTGTTCATGCAAGATTTTATTCAATAAAAAGTGTTGTCTCATAACAAGGTATATATTATGTATATTACTGGAAGGCTAAGCCAAGTTTTTCCAACACATATAGGCCCATACATACACATATATTCATAGTAAACCATTAAAATGTATCTAAAGTTATTAATGCATATTAATTGAAATAAATACACAACACCTTTGTTAACTTTATGTAAACCGTCAATTGTCTTATTAGTTTTACATTTATCATTTAGATATTTTTGTTAAATAATATGTTTAAAAAATAATATACTTGTGATAAAAATATGTTTAATTAACCCATACATTTGTAAATAAGCATTAAAGAATTAAAGTAATATTTATTTTTAATAACGTTTGTATAACATTACCTATCGATTGACAATAATAATATTTACCTGCAAAAATATTCCAAAAAATTCTTCTACTTCAGCGTATTAGAATTTTAAATTAAATTAATTCACTGCACAAGTTTGCCAATTAGCTTGCTGCTTGATACTAATGGTTAAAAAGAATTTCATTTAAAGGTAATATTTCACCAAGCAACTTCCTAAGTTTCAAAAACACAAACTTGGTTTATGCTGTACAGAAAGTCAACGCTCATACGAAATAATCCAGATAAATATATTGAATATCTCAAGAAGGCAATACAGATGATTCGTAATCAGCTACGTCAGCTAATCTTGTGGGTAAAAACTTTGTATTTCTCATTGTGAAATCGCTAAGGCTAAGATATCCGATTTAAACAGTGGATCTGTTAAAAGTTCACTCACAATGTCCTCTTAGAGTACGGGTCAGCCACCAAGTATTTACGTTCTCTAACAGCGGCTTCTTCCATGTAACTAAATCCTAATTGTCTTGTGTGGACGGAAACAAACTAAAAAATACAAAAATATCGAGTTAAAAAAACACTTTGACGGGGAGGGGCGGGGAGGGAAGGGGACAGTAAAGAATGGCGGTGATCATGTGAGGTACTTTTTTCCATATCGTGCATTCGTTCCGCATGGCTGGTTAGAAGTCACAAGGTGAACTTTTATAACCGTGACCCGACCCGACACCCCCCTCCCCACCCCACGCGTCGCTCTCCTCGTCCCTACGTCTCGCCACCACGTCACGCATGCGTGTGTGAGAATGTGAAACGTATGTTCCGTGGTGTGAGTAAATGTACTTAAACAATGCATAGAGTGTTATGGCATGAAGAACTAGAGGCAGGTCTGTCAAACCTGCTAAGCACTACATTAAGAAAGTGTGGTGGGTAGACTAGTGTATATAGCATGTTATGATGTCTTGTCATGAATACCGCTTAAATAGGACGGAGGGGGGGTAGAGGGCAGGGAAGGTAGTGTGGAGAAAATCTGGGGGAGAGTAATGTAGGGGTAGCCTGTTACACATCAAGCTGTATTATATCACTGATGGGTCAGCAGTTACACACACACATACACACGCGTACACATACATACACACACGTGCCTATATATACACACATACGCACACAAATACACACACACACACAAAAGTAACTTTAGACTGCACGATACCACTGTATCAGTATATTCTGAGTTATAATGAGTTTTTAAACTCTATCATTAAAACAGCGATAACGATCACCTGATGCCTATTGTGGTATATTTTTGAACCCACCTACACATTTAAAAGGCGTCGAAAGTTTGCGCTGCTAGTAATTAAATGTCAGGTAGACTACACAAGTCAACCAGTGGGGCACCTAGAGGAGAAATTCGAACCAGGTACACATGACGCTGGGGGAGGGGAGGGATCAATGGTGAAACTGTGACTTTTCTAAAATGTCATGGGTTATCAGTACCTGCACTATTGGGGACATAAAGGAAGGGATGGGGGGGGGGGGGGGGGGTTGATAACGTTTCCAGCTACACGCGTTATGCTTGTCAAGTTCTGATTCGACTACTTCAACACGTTGTCCGTCTTCTGAAAGTATAATGTTATGGGAAATATGTTTATAAAGTAATGTAAGCATTACTGAATAATATATGTACACACACACATATATATATATATATATATATATATATATATATATATATATATATATATATATATATATATATATATATGTGTGTGTGTGTGTGTTGGTGGATGTGGGTGTGTGGGTGTGTGTGAGTGTGTGTGTTGGTGGATGTGGGTGTGTGGGTGTGTGTGAGTGTGTGTGTTTGAAAAGTGTAAGAAAGTTCGGGAGGGTGAGGGGTACGGGTGGTAGACTGAAATAAAATAATTCTTAAAATAATCGAAACTCTCAAGACTCACCGCATTTCTTTTTAATTCCCCTGGTTATGTGCAGTACACTCAAATCATCGTATACAATGTTTGAAATTATTTATTTATTTTTTAAATTAATAAGCCTTTTTTAAATTTATTTGTGTATGTATAAGTTACGGTAATTAAGGGAAATATGTGCACGCACCAGGGACACTTTGGTTGCCATAGTTAAAAAAACTACCTTGTGAAATTTCATAAAGTAACGTATAAACCGCCCATACAATCATTGATCCTTCTTGTACTAACACTAATAGGGTCAACTGGCTGAAAAACAGCTAGAAATTTTTTTCAAAGATTTTTTAATGGTGAAATACCATTAAATTTAGCTTTAATTTCAATGGGATTTTGCCATACCAAATTTTGAAAATAAAAAAAAAATATATCTCTATATTGTTTGTAGGGGTTGTAGGATTGACTCTTATTAACTCACAAATACCTGCCCCATATTTAGCCCCCCCCCCCCCCCTCCAACTTTCTTTACAAGTTAAAATGTTGTAGCGTTCAACTTTCGAGCTCCAGCTATTTGATTGGCACCTTGTCTGCAGGAAGGGCCACATTCTTCAAACTCGCATCAGCTCCTGCCCCCCCTCCCTCCCAAAGCCCATACATGCCCACCGACAATCTCATACCCCAACACTCCCCCCCCCACCTCCCCATACACAAACATATTATTTTTTTAAAGTCATACATTATGTTTGAATGTTTGAGAAAGTGGGATATCCTCTTCACGTCAAACTGTTTCACATTTAGCCGACCTGGTCCAGAAACAAAATAAATTCTCTATTATTTCAACATAATGTTCATTTTAATTTCAATACTAAAGTGTTATAGATTAGTTCCGTTTAAAATTGTTTACTATGGACCTTTTTAAACACCGATAGTTAGCTAAAGTTTTAAATAATTACCCAAAAATTATTTGTTTTTTTTTTAATCAAGGGACATAATAATACAAAAAATGTGTGGCTTCTTCCAAACAGAAATTTAAAAAGATGCATATACTTGCTCGATTTACTGGAAACTAAAGTCGTCTTGATAATTAAAAAAAAAACAACTGTAAATTAACTTCTATCCAAGAAAGTGCTATAGTCCAGAATAAAATAAAGCTTGTAAAAGTTCGTCAAGCTAGGTAACTGCTAACGTTTTAAAAAGACTATTATACATTAATAGTGTCCCTTTGTTGACAAATCAATTTTTTAAAATAACTTTATTTGGTGATTTTATTTTATTTTATTTTATAACAGAGACCATTATAATTCTTTATTTGTGTACTATTTGTGAATATACACATCAAGATGGGTCTCTACATTTTCCTTTACCTGTAGAGAATGGACCCAGGACAGACAACTAAGCCTACTAAGCCAAACATAGTTTTTAGGAATGATAAAACAATTTGTTTTAGTACTGTTTATATTTCTAAAGACAAGTTCTTTTTACCTTCTAATAATGAATACATTTTAAATCGTACTTTTCAAAGTAGGTCTTCTTATTCGTATTCGTTTCTTTGAAGGCTGTTATCTGTCCTGATTGCTAAGTCTGGATCTTTTCCTTCTTGTAAAATTTTTAAAATAAATTCTGGCCTTGTAAAAAAATGTATGTCTTTTTCTCAGTTCCTCACTTTTCAAAGTTTCGTGGGTACCATGTGCTGTATATACATTTAATTTTACCCTAATGTGTACCAAATGTTTAAATCAGTGTTGTCTATCCACACGGTTTTGTTTTTAAATATGTTGTCGTGAGTAAAAGAAGGCTCGGGTTATCAGCAGTGTTCTGACATCTGGCTTACGTCTGTTTGCTCTGTGCATACAACGTCTCTTTCATAAGTGTTGTTATAATTTAATTATGATAATTTAATATTATACACGAGCCGACCCGCGGTGTAGCATGTGGCGCTATTTAGTTGTTTTATTTTCTACTTTTCAGTAATTCATAATTTGTGAATTTGACAGTACCAATGCTGCCACTGAAAATATTTTGCTTTAAAACACTATCAGCAGCTCGTGAAGGACGATTATCCTCACCCTCACTTTCAACTCCTCTCTCAACCCCCTCGGTTCTACGAATGTAAACGTGAACCACAGCTCACCAGACTGGTGGGAGTGGGGGTGGTAAAAATATGCCTAGAGAGCGAGGGAGGGGGTGTTGGTGGTGTCCCGTAAAGTCCCCACGTAGAGAATTATATATACAGATAGACATTCAATGTTACTCAACCAGTTGTATTAATGCGTGAGTTCATTCAACTTTGTTTCTGACAATGTATTGAAGAGAAATCCACAATACAAAGCAACAATGAAAAGAAAACACAAGTGATTAATTCATATTTATTCAAAAATCATGATGTAAACCCTCATTTGACAATGTGTGTGGATAAATAATGCACAAATGCGCAAAACTGAATCAGATTTAAAGCTTCATTTTAAAAATGAATTAATCCCAGAAACATAAATCACTTAAAACAGTGATCATGTGCTGTTTCACTTAGTTCATAAAAACATAATATATACAAATATAAAGAGAAAGTGTAAATCGTTTTATAATAAATATACTTGTATCAATTTCGCTTTATTTTTTTAAACAGATGTCCGAATTATGTTAAACTGTGCACTAATGATCTTAAGACAATTGGGCCTTGACAATCAATTTTCAAATCGTTTGAAATGTATATAAAAATGTTATTTTTTTCCCTTAAAGCAAAGTTCAGATAAATAATTAGAAATTGCTTAGTAAATTAACAAAAACTGGACTCTTTTAAAGCAAAAGATAAACATCTTGTAGTTTTATGTTAAAAAAAAATTATCGAAAGATGTTACATAGTAAGTCAGCTTGTTCTAGGCACATAGGGAGATTAAAATAATAAGTTAAAAATACAGTTAAAGTATCATGCGATTTGGGAAATGCGCTGGATAATAGTTGGATAAATTCACTTGTTTAGTGGTGGATACAATACTAGTTCAGTGGTGGAAATTCACACGTTTTGAGATGGATTATCCTTTGGTTTAAATTTGAAAAATGGATTAAACAAAGTAGAAATAAAGGTGTTATAAAATATTCTTAAAGAATAACAGAATGTAAATCTTGATATGTATAATAAAGTTAATATGTAGTACATAGTACCACAGTAGCCAATATCTATTTGTGTAGCCTGTATGAGTATGGTTTATAAATTATGTTATGATAAGTGACGAAGCACATATTGAATATACGAACAGTTGATGTATGTTATAATGTGTTTACTTGCAAGAGCTAACTGATAGATTGTATGTTTCTTTAGTAAATGTTAGAAAGTTTAAAATGACCCAACCCCCAATTCAACCAAGCGTTAAATAAAACCATATACTTGTGCAAGTGGACTGTGAGGACGTTAGTGTGTCCCCCACCCTCTAAGCTAAGCTTGTCTCCATCATTTCACATCCCATGGAAGACGTTCCTTATGCAGGTTAGTTAAATAATGAAGGCCGTTCAGTGAAACAGAAAAAAAGTTTTTGCAAGCCTAGAAAGCAGCTACAGTAATGTAAACTTTCAATCCGACAGGAAAAGTTAACATAGGAATGTAATGGTGACATTAGCAAAACAATTAGAATGTGTGCCGGATTATTGTCTTAACTGTGTGATCAACAATCAGATATTTTTATACATTAGCTCTTCTCATAGGAAAAGGAAATCGATGTTTCCAGTGGTATACCGGGATTTTCACATGATTAGAGTTACAATACACGGGCAATAGGCGCGGAATAAGATGGATTTAAAAATTTTAAATTATTCATAAGAGATTTTAAAAGCCACCGGATTAGGAAAAAGACCACAAGATTAGTGTGATTATACTTGCACACACAAACACACACACTACACGCATATATAAATGCATTATATATATACATACACACACACACACATATATATATATATATATATATATATATATATACGTATATATATATATATATATATATATATATATATATATATATATATATATATATGTATATATATATATATATATATATATATATATATATATATATATATATATATATATATATATATATATATATATATACGTATATATATATATATACGTATATATATATATATATACGTATATATATATATATATATACGTATATATATATATATATATACGTATATATATATATATATATACGTATATATATATATATATATATATATATATATATATATATATATATATATATATATATATATATATATATATATATATATATATATATATATATATATACGTATATAAAGTCAATGTATGTATATATGCGTATGTGCAAGAAAATACTGTATATTATTGTAATGAACACGACAACATCACTAACCTAACATTCACACTAGCTGTTTTTTAAATTGTTATTACAATAACAGTATTGTCTTATCTCTCTGTTTTTCTCCAGTATACAAGCTGGGTCGTTCCCGTACTTATTAATCCTGCTAATCGCCTTAGGATTAACAGACATGGTGTCCATGTAGAGCAGATGCTCCAGTGTCAGTTCGAATTCCCCGTGGCCGGGCTCTGTGAAAAACGTCAGCTGGTAGATGGCCCGCTCGTTCTTGACAGAGTTGTCGGACATGATGGGTTCCAGCCCGCGGTCTCCTGTCGTCTGGTTAAAGCGGAGGACGTCATCGCTGACCAGCAGTTTGGTGACCGTCGTGACGTCACCAACACTTAGCTTGGCACACTCAGATCTGTAGGGCTCAGTGAAATTGTTGATGGCGTCTACAGCCGCCGCTAGGGCGCGCTTTGCATCCGGGTCAGTGTGGTTCACGACCTTCCAAGCCAGACATGCGCACCAATGAGGCGCGACGTCTGCATGATGACACGTCCTTGACTTTGGAATTTCTTTAAATAAACTGATACCTCTATTCATAACGTCCCCCAAACCAGCGCCATCAAATCTGAGAATGTCTTTGAAAGTTTCATGCAAGTCAAAAGGCGTAGTCAGTCTGTTGACGTTTGTCTTCACGTTTTTGACCAGACTCGGATATTTCTTTTCAAACCAGGGCGGAAACCTGAGACTGACGTAAGGCAGACGTTCCTCCAACTTCCCTGAGAGCGTTCTCCTGACTGCAGCGAACCTGGCACCGTGGTCTGCCATGACCAGCAGAAGTGTGTTGTTCAGGTACCCTCCAGTCTCCATCCTCTCCAGAAAATTTCTTAGATCTTCGTCAGCCTGGAAAGAGCAAGAATAAAATTTGAATTTAATATCTGACATACTTTTGGTGATACAGAATATAACAGCATATATGCTCATCTTTTAAACCATATACATAGCAACGTTTTAATCAAATCGTTGCTTTAAAAGGTGTAGGTCGACCTCGGCACACTTTTAACTGCGAAATAGAGAATAATTCAATTTTTAATTGGATACAAATATACTTATCAGATGTATGAAAGTCTCAGATTATGTGTATCTAGTTTGTGTGTGTTCTGTATGAAAAACATGTCATTTACGAACTTTATACAAATCTGGTTTTAATATCAGTATATATATGAAACTTCTTTTGAGTTTATTTACGATTTAGCATATGTGTAAATGTATGTTTTAGAGTGTGTACGATACGCACGCAGAATTGACTGAACAAGCTCTTTTATATATTAGATTATAAACTGTACATATCAAATTTAAAGAAAATAGAACATGCAGTTCAAACTAATAGTTATTTTTTTTTTACGCCTGATTACAGTTTGGTGTTAATTAAATTATTTCTAGACATTAAATGCCGCACGGTTACAACTTGGAGTTTTCGTCTTCAAACGCGTACAGTTATATTAGTGTCTAGTAGTGTCGTAAACTGACTAATGTTATGTAGCAGTTTATACTGTATCATGAGTGTATACAGTTATATAAGAGGGGTTAGTTTGGCAAGTCAACATGTCATCTCTGTGTTGAAGAGTTTTAAATTTCTGTCACACAAGATTAGTAAACAAATGTGGTTTCCATCTAGATGCAGCAAACACGCCATGTACGCTTGACCCGTGTAGAGTTTCGACCGTCGAATCACATTTTACAATTACAAAAAAAAATTACATTTTATGAGCGACATTACCAAAGCGCAATTTAAGTGAAGGCACACCATCTTAATATCTCGATGTTTAACTCGATGATTTTAAATAATACACAATCGATTTTACAGGATCCATAGAGAAAATTCTGGGACAGTTCCGGTCCAATGACCGTACACCACCAGTTCCCTGGACCATGGCCATTGTATTCTAAAATGTTTTTAAGCAGATTTCCTTGCTTCATTACCGACATTGATGTGGAAATATCGTGGATCGATCAAAAAAATCGAACAGACATAATTCCATTTCGTTGTAGTCAACAATTGGCAAAGTCACGAAACCCATGTAACACGTGATCTAGAAATACTGGGGTCACTGGACTAGTCAACAAAACCCTGGGGTCACTGAACTAGTCAACAAAACCCTGGGGTCACTGAACTAGTCAACAAAACCCTGGGGTTACTGGTCAACAAAACTCTGGGGTCACTGAACTAGTCAACAAAACCCTGGGGTCACTGAACTGGCCAACAAAACCCTCGAGTCACTGAACTAGTCAACAACACCCTGGGGTTACTGAACTAGTCAACATAACCCTGGGGTTACTGAACTAGTCAACAAAACCCTGGGGTCACTGAACTAGTCAACAAAACCCTGGGGTCACTGAACTAGTCAACAAAACCCTGGGGTCACTGGACTAGTCAACAAAACCCTGGGGTTAATGGTCAACAAAACTCTGGGGTCACTGAACTGGCCAACAAAACCCTGGGGTCACTGAACTAGTCAACAACACCCTAGGGTCATTGAACTAGTCAACAAAACCCTGGGGTCACTGAACTAGTCAACATAACCCTGGGGTCACTGAACTAGTCAACAAAACCCTGGGGTCACTGAACTAGTCAACAAAACCCTGGGGTCACTGAACTAGTCAACAAAACCCTGGGGTCACTGAACTAGTCAACAAAACCCTGGGGTCACTGAACTAGTCAACAAAACCCTGGGGTCACTGAACTAGTCAACAAAACCCTGGGGTCTTTGGACTATTCAACGATACCCTGGGGTCACTGAACTAGTCAACAAAACCATGGGATCACTGAACTAGTCAACAAAACCATGGGATCACTGAACTAGTCAACAAAACCCAGGGGTCTTTGGACTATTCAACGATACCCTGGGGTCACTGAACTAGTCAACAAAACCCTGGGGTCACTGGACTAGTCAACAAAACCCTGGGGTCACTGAACTAGTCAACAAAACCCTGGGGTTGCTGAACTAGTCAACATAACCCTCGGGTTGCTGAACTAGTCAACAAAACCCTGGGGTCACTGAACTAGTCAACACAACCCTAGGGTCACTGAACTAGTCAACAAAACCCTGGGGTCACTGAACTAGTCAACAAAACCCTGGGGTCACTGAACTAGTCAACAAAACCCTGGGGTCACTGAACTAGTCAACAAAACCCTGGGGTCACTGGTCAACAAAACCCTGGGGTCACTGGACTAGTCAACAAAACCCTGGGGTCACTGAACTAGTCAACAAAACCCTGGGGTCACTGAACTAGTCAACAAAACCCTGGGGTCACTGGACTAGTCAACAAAACCCTGGGGTCACTGGACTAGTCAACATAACCCTGGGGTCACTGGTCAACAAAACCCTGGGGTCACTGAACTGGTCAACACAACCCTCTGTGACTCGTGATCTAGAAACCCTGCGAACACTAACGTCAAACAAAAATGTATTTAGGACATGTTTACAACCTACTTTATAAAAAAAATTGTTTGTTCATTTTTTCTGGCAGTAAAAATGTATTTATTCCCACACATGTTGAATGTACTTTATCCTATTTACGTTTCTGTGTAACGATATGGAGTAGGGTGTGGGGGTGGGTGAGGGGGGATCTAGAAAGAGAATAATTATAAAAGCTACAAACAAAATTCAATGACCAAACTTTCTTGCTCTGTATACTTGATGTGCCTTTGAAAGAGAAATGGTATTGCAGCCAAACAAGCGGTGTGATTCGTTGCCCAGCGGAATGTCTGCACACTTAGGAAAGTGCGTTTTGTACTTCAAAAGTAGATTCTTTACATACTGACAGTATATTTATATGTAATCATTGACATTTTACCGAGGTATAGCGTATGTGTATGTGGTTACATAAACTGCAATGGAAAAAAATGAGAGACAGGTATTTAGCAAAGATACACAAAGCTATGCTTCCAATTATCTGCTAATATCATTCAAACGAACTTATTCAAGGCAGATTTTGCTAAACAAAATGTAGATGATTCTCTGCTTTACATTCTTATAATATCGTTCAAACAGTTTTAAGTATAACACCAAGCGTAGATAGAGCTAATTAACACATTCACATTTTACACAATATACACATACTTCATTTGCAATTGGCACACAGCGTTGTGTAATTTGTGTGTAGTGTTGAAATATAATTAATTTCTTGATGAAGTAATTATGGCTAGTGTTGAAAGACACGTCTTCTTTAGTAAATTTCGTTAGGGTTACGTCTAATTCATAAGATTAATCAGTTAGGGCCATGGTAGGATTCAAAAATTAATTTTACAAAGACTTATTTAGCGTCTCTAAGAACGATTATGGGTTGAGATGTTAAGTTTAAAATGCAAATCATATAAGAAACGAAATTCGAAAACGTGTTTTATATCGAAAATCATGAAATATTCTGAAAATCGTTAAATAAAATCTGAAAACAAACCCAATTGGATATTGTGATCTGAGCTAAAGATAATATTTGGTATTTGGTGGGGAAAAATATTTTTTTAATTTTTTTTTCAAAACGATCTTACTATTTAAAAAATCACTTAATATATACATCGCGAGTATTGTATATGAACGAGAAGCTTAATGATGGTATCGGATCTTACCATAGTAATGAGATTGTTGTCGTCATGACTGAGAGGTGAGTAGAAATGGACGAGAAATTTGGGCTCGTGTTTGTACATGTAGAAAATATCACGTAACCAGTTGAACCAGACCATGTGTTGCAGCTCTGAGCCGTGGCAGAAACGGTAGTAGTTTCGATACGTTGGTGAGGCGGCCAGATAGAATGGTCGCATGTAGTAGTCAGTCGGCTGGTGTTCGAATCCCAGCAAGCGCAGATTGAATGGGGAGATGTTAATATTGGCGTCTGCCCAAGATGTGACGTAACCGTTTTTCTGGAACTTTTTCCAAATAAAAGGAAAATTGTCGACAGGTTTGGACCCCTGCATACGTCGTCTGGCTTCGGGTAGTTCCGTTTCATGTTTTCCTGTGAGAATTGGTATCAGGGCAGAAGTTGTGCCGTCCCCTACAATATTGTACCCCTTGAGTTCTATAGCACCAAGTCTTTTAACCATGTAGTCTCTGGTTTTTGGCATACGTCGCATCCAAGACATTCTAGACATGGAATCAAACACCATCACAGCTACAGACATCCCAAGACCATTAGCTGGAGGTTTTGTAGTCCTCAATCTCTCTCGGATTGTTTCGTTGTAGAACACGCCAGCGTGGATGTTCTCGTACCTCGAGGCTTGTGATTTGGAGCGACATTTGATTTTAAAGAAGTTTGACGTTATCGGAACTCCACTTCTCGTTATTTTGACCGGTTCGCTGTACGACACGTTATAATCCCCGGGTCCACGGATTAACGGATAATAATCACAGGTAAACACGCCGTATTTAAGTATAGCGAATGTGTCAAACCTTAAAGTACCGTTGTCTACAAACACCCAGTTTGGCATCATGTCGCTACATGACCCGCGTCCATGTCTGTGAACGTATTTCATCATGACTGGATCCGCTACGTCCATAACCGGCTGGACACACGCTTGTAAAGGATCCACTGGATGTGGTGGATTCACGTGCTGGATTATAAACTCATCACGTGATTGTACACGACGATTCGATTGCCCGTGCCGTCGGGTCTTGGGATAAGGTACCGTTCTCACGTGAGTTTGGTTGAGGTCTGGTCCAGGCTCGCTGATCATGTCGACAGCCAGCAGATAAATCACACACAAGATCACACCCACTGATATCATTTCGGCGATGATTTCTTTTCTGTAGAATCGGAGACCGAAGATTTTTAGCAGCATGTTGAAATTCTTGGAGGACGATACAAACGCCAACAGAACAAAAAGGGCATACAGTCACATGTATGAG